GCCTCACCCCTCGGGCACACGACATTCTTACTTCCAGGTTATTTGGTCTCCGTGTCCCTAGCTCGAGCCTCGCTGCCCTGGCCGCCTGGGCCCCGCAGGCCCCACGCTGCTGCTTAACCTGCAGGCGTCTGGGGAGCGGATAAAGGACCTTCTCCTGCTCCCGGGGCGGAGGGACCGTGTTCTTTCGGTTGGGTGGCCCGTGTCAGCCCCGCGACACCCCTGGAAGGGCGGGTGTCTGTGAGCACCACACAGGGGCACCCGCCCCCCACCCGGGCTTCCCCGGCCCCCGGACTCTCCGTCTGCTCAGCCGTGAAACGGGGACGGTCTGGATGGGCACAGGGCCCCCGGGGACGCCCAGAGGGGTGGCTCCCGACCCAGCCGCCGCCTCTGGCCTCTGCAGCTGACCCCAGGCTGACCCCTGCCACCCGTCGCCCTCTCCTCTGCCCCTCCCCCACTGTTAATCTAAGACAAACAGGCGTATCAGGGGCAGTGCCAGGCCCCACGATAACACAAAATAGCTGAAATGATTTTTTCCCACCCACACATGCCGCGCTGGTCGGGGGACGCGGGGCCGGCCGTATCGGCCCATCTCCCGGGCTGTCCATCAGGACAGGCCGCCCTGCCTCGGCCGCCCGATAACAGACCTCGAGGTTCGCCTAGAAACGCCGGCGGGGAGATTAGTCAGCCGAGCACAGCCCACGACGCCCTTGCTCACGCTCTAGGGGCGAGGATCCCGGCAGGCTCCCCAGGACGCCGGGGGAGGGGGTGTCGGGCTCCAGTGCTCCTCTGGCCCCCCACAGCGCTGTGCTCCCCGAGGGGTGTTCTTTCAGCCCCGCTGCTGCGTGGCGGCCGACCAGATACCTCGCTTGACTCCCTCCAGCCCCCCCTTTTATGTCTCCTAGTCCACGGCACTGAGCCGCCACACCCACACCGTCCAAACCTCAGGGCCTTTGCACACGCCAGCACACTGCCTAGACACCCTCAGCCCACTCCAGCTGGTCCTCTGGCCTCAGCTCAGGGGTCTCTCTGCTGACCTGCAGGGCCATGAAGACATGGCCAACCTTCCCCCCTCTGCCTCCAGGGCCTGAGATGGGGACGGAAAAGGTAATACCAGATGCTCAGCTGGTCAGATCCTGTTTTGTAAACTCCAGGAAGGAGTGCGGGCTCCAAGGCACCTAATAAGTGACTGGGACCCCACCAAGCTGACCACCAAGAGTGTCCCTGACCACCTCCCTCCTTCCTGGGCCCACAGAGCCCAGGCCGCCCTCACGGCCACTTGATCCACCCCTGCGGGCCCCCGCCTGGCATGGCACCTGCACTCAGAGGTGGTTGCACGCTGCCCCCCACCCCCCGTGCGGGGCCTCTGGGCCTTGCCTGCCCCGTGCCAGGCACAGCAGGCAGCAAGGGAGGCCCGAGGAGGCCACCCAGCCCCAGGCAGCCTGGGGAAAGTCACCCTCACTCCGCTGAGGGGCTGCTCAGGTGGGAGGGGGTCCCACACTGTGAGGCTGGTTGCAGAAGCGGCTCCCAGACCCCCTGGGACTCCCCACAGCCGTTCCCTTCACCCTATTTCTCCATGACCCGGCCAGGCAGGCTGACGGCACGCTGACCACCGCTGCATGGAGGCTCGGATGGGGCCGGAAGGTGGGTGATGGGCCAGGGACCCCCACCCAGGATGGGACCCTCGAGGCTCAGTCCGAACGGGGGCTGACTTTCCTGCCGGACCTTCTGCTTTTTGTAGATGTTAAGTGGGGAGCCGGGGAAAAAGGGGACAGATGAATAGGGGAGGGCCGGGGGGCCTGGAGTGAGCCGGCCGCTCTCAGGCAGAAAGCTCCTGGCCTGCGCCCCGCAGACACGCCTTGGGGATTACAGATTACAGCTTCCAGCTATTTGCATATCAGAATTTTAAACAGCCGGCCCCTCCAGCAAACAAGGTCATTTCTAAGATAAAAATACTGAGCGTTCCCCCTTCCTGGCACCCACCCCCTTGCCCTTGGAAGCCCCTAGCCCAGCATCCCGGCTTCCCGGAGCCCGGTGGTGCCTCCCTCACCGTGGGCTGAGGCGCCCTCCCTACAGACCCGGGACCAGGCCACACGGCTCCCTGCACCCTGCTCAGGCCCCAGGGCCTCCTGGCTGGACCTTGGTCTCACCCCCAGGGCCTTTGCATGGCTCCGGCTCCGCAATTCTGACCCGAGGATCTCCTTGCCCTGTGGGGCCTGTCTGGGGACCACCCTCCCCTCCAGGACGTCCGTTGTCCCCCCCGCCCCAGCCCGAAGGATGCCCCAGCACTCGGCTCCTGGGGTGCAGGGAGCATCCATCTAATTCCGGTGTGGGCTCTGCCCCTCCCTCCAGGTGGCAGCTGCGGTCCCGCTGCCCAGATCGGGGACATCCCTGAGACCTCACTGCAGGGCCGCCTGGGAGCTGGGCCTCCCGCTGGGCTCCGAGGGGCGGCCCCGGACAGCACCACTCGCGGGGAGGGGGAAGCAGCCTCTCCCAACCTCCACTTGGCAGCTGAAGGGGGCAGTGCCAGGCCACCTGCGAGGGGAGACAGCTGTGTGCTGTGGGCACATCCCCTCAGCTCCATCGTACAGATGAGGAAACTGAGGCCAGAGAGGTTGGTGAACCTGGCGCCACTCCAGGGCGCTGTTTCCACCTGAGCAGCATCACCCGAGGGCCGAGCCGCCCGCCGCTGACAGAGCTCACAGCTCCCCGACGTGCAAGCACGTCGCTGAGAACCTCCCCAGCCTGGGTCTGGGGCTCTGGGGTCACCAGGCATCGGGCCACGTGTCCCGGACGCGCACTCTGGTGTCCGTGAAGCTCTCGCATTCCTGCGACCTGGCTCCTGTCCACGGCCCTGGCCCTGCGCCCTGGCTGGGCCCCCCACCCCGAGCCCGTCGTGCACCTGCAGAGGGGCACTGAGGCCTGGCGCTGCCGTCACCTGCTCCCCGACCACGGCACTGGCCCGGGGGAGAGGCCCCGGGAGACCCCTAAGCCCTGGCCCTCGCCGGCAGATGGCAGCCAGGGAGGTATTGGGGGGGGGGACCCGCTGTGCACTGAGCTCCGTGCCACGAGGTGACCGGGTCCCGCCGCACGCAGGCCAGATGGGACAGAGGCTTGCGGCCCAGCACTTCCCCAGAGCGGACGGTGAAAGGTGCCGGTGGTCCAAGCTGGTCCCCTTCATCCCAGAGGGGAAAGGTGGCTGGTGTCTGTCCCCAAGCACTGGCTTGGGGACAGACTCAGAGACACAGGGACGGAGAGATGCCCACCCGGGACGGGCAGAGGGGCGAGGGTGGGGGGCCAGGACCCGTGGGCAAGGGCCACGGCCGCACAACCCCATCGCGGGCACTGCCCTCGGGGACGCCGGCCCGGCCCTGGCAAAGCCCCGCAGCTCCGTCGCTGGCACGGGCGGCCCCTCTCAGATAAGGGCCCGCGGGGCCGCTCCGGCTTTCCTGGCGGGCGATAAGTGCGGCCTGTCCGGGGTCTGATAGGGGCAGGCACCGCGGCGGTTGGCCAGCAGCGGCTTATCGGCCCATCGCTGCCCAGCGCACACAAGTTGCTATCTGCGGAGCTGAGGGGGAGCCCCCGGCCCAAGATGCAAATAGCACGGGCAGCTCCTGGACGCGCCCCGGCCCGCGTCCTGTGGTCGGCTTCCACACTCTAGGCGCCTCGGTTCCCCCATCCACAAAATGGGGGTGATGATTCCAGCACCGAAAGGTGGAGGGGGCCCCGCTGGGGCGTTCACACGCTCACGGCCCCGGTCTGTCCCCCGCTCCACCGCTTCCCAGCTGGGTGGCCCTGGACAAACCCCCCTGTCGCTCTGCACCTGAGTCTCCTGCACAAACCGGGGCAGTGACCCCCCTCCCCCCCGCCCCCGGGCCTCTCCTCCCCAGGGCCACTCGACGCAGCGGCTGGGCCGGGTCCCGCAGGCACACGGTGGTCCCCCCCGACCTGCAGCAGGGGAAACTGAGGCAGGTTTCTGAGCACGGGGTCCCGCCCCACCCCCACAGCACCATCCTGTGCGTGGAAAGGCCCCCGTGTGGACCCAGCACCCGGGCGTCTGGCTTAGCTGCGCCTGACGGGGCCGTGGGGACCTGAAGGACACGTGGCCCCGTGACCGGTCCCTTGCCAGGTGCTCCTTGGTGGGAACAGGGCACCTGGGGCCCCTCCTCTGCCGTCAACAGGTCCCCGAGATGGGGGGTGGGGTCCCTTCCCTGGCCCCACCCGTGTGCCTCCCGCCCCCGCTGTGCCGAGAGCCGTCTGCTCACAGTGAGGACTGGTACGCAGCTAGTGCTCAGTGAATGGTTCCTGCATCCACGCACGCCTGACCCCAGTGCACGGTGTCCCCTCGCGGAGGCCACGCCCACCCCCCTCACCGACGCGCAGACACGCAGCCCCACACGCCGCCCCGCGTTCCCCGGAAGGGACAGAAGCGGCGGACATGCCTGCTGCCCCTGTGTGACCTGGGACCTCCCAAGTCAGGATTCGGGCGATGGGGGGCAGGGCAGCACAAATCCTCCCGCAGGCGCACCCCGGCTCCAGCACCCGCAGTCAGAGCCAGCGCCCCCCACCGCAGCCACGGCCACCCCGGGGCGGGGGGTGCCCTTGCCCACCCTGCACAGGCCTGAACCCCCAGCCCAGCCCCCTCCGTGGCTTTGGTGGCTCCCAGTTCCCACAATGCCTCTCTCTGACCTCACCACCTGCTCCTCTGCCCCAGGCACAGCACACCGCCTCCCAGAAGCCCTCAGAGCGTGTGGGCGAGGGGTTTAGCTCTGGGCATCGGCGGGGCTTGGTGCCTGCCCACGCGATATCGCCGGCCCCACCGGCCGCCTGGACTTTGGAATGGGCACAGGCCCTGGCCCAGAGGGTCGTCACCAACCTCCTCGGCCGGAAGGCGAGGCCCGTCCCACCCAAGTCAGGACGGCGGCTCCGGGACTTCCCGGAGGCCGGGCCCCGGGCCGCCCCGGGCAGCAGTGCCGCCAGCCCTCGGCCGCGGGTGTGGTTACCTGGCCCGCTCCAGGCGCTGCCCGGCTCCTCCTCCAGCCCGGTCTCTGGCTCCTGCCCCTCCATGTCTTCGGGGCCTCCTGGGGGTGTGGCGGGTGGTGGCGATGGGGGGGGCGGGGGACTAGCGTCTGTGGACAGGAAAACACCATCAGGCCCCGCCGCCTCTGGGCACCGAGTCGCCGCCTCCCCACCTGCCCCTGTGGCCGGGAGGGATGCCGAGACCCATGTGGGGGAGCACATGCCCGAGGTCTGCTCTGATTCGGGGACAGACACCTCAGTTTTCTCCTTGGCCTTCAGAACCCTTCATCCCCTCATTAATTGCAGCGATAATTGCTACTCCACCGGCTGCTAATAATTAGAGGGCAGGGTGGCCTAGCAGGCACACCCAGGCCAGCGGGCGCCCGGGCTGCCTCCGGCTCCCGCTCTCCTCCGCCGGCAGCCGGGGGCCCCTGTGGCCGGGCCCTGCACCCAGTTCCAGCCCAAAGGGCATATTTGCCTTCCCCGCCGAGCCTGATAACTCCGGCAGCCCCCAATCGATGAACTCCCATAAAAGCCCCCCCCCTTGGTGACGTCACACGCCCGGCAGATTATTAATACCCAAGATAAGGGCCGTGATTAACATCAAATAAATCAATCACACAGTATAAAAGTCCTATTATTTTTGGCTATAAATCAACGTGGCTGGCATCTGAGCTCCAGCCACCGCGCGGGAGCCGCGCTGGGCCCGCCCGGGAGGCAGATAGCGCTCCGCCGCCTTATCTCGCCCATCGCTGCGTTATCGCCGCGGCCTGTGCCAGGTGCAACCCCGGCTGTTTTTTCCAGCTCTTTCCCTGGCCCCGCCCCCACCCACCCCATGCAGCCCCAGCTAGCAGATCAGATAAGGGGCCCGGCTCCCCTGGAAAGCCGCGGGGTCAAAGTCCACCAGTAACAGCCACCTGCCCTTTGGCAGATCAGGCGCCCCCGTTAGCGCGCAGCACCTTCCAGCGGTGGTGATGGCGGTGGTGATGCGGGGCCCCCGTGCACGGCTGCAGCCCCGGCCGCCCAGACCCAGGCCCGGACACTGAGGCTCAGGCAGGGCAGAGCACGGGCCCTGGGGACAGGCATGGCGGAGGGTGGTGGCAGAGGTACTGATGGGCAAGAACTAGTAGCAGAGCCCGGTGCACGACCCCGGCCCCCCGGCCACTGTCCCTGTGTGAGCGGAGGGGCAAGTCCCGAGGGGCCTGCCCCTGGGGAAAGGGACAGAGGGGCCACCAGCTCTCAGAGCATGAGGCTGGTTGGACCCCTGCCTCTGGCCATCCAGGGGGACACTGATGCTCTGAGACCGGGAGACGCTGGGGATGGGGGTCCCCACGCTCTGCCTGGGGTCTCTGTGCCCCAGCCCCGCCCAGCAGAGCGCTGCTGCCCACTTGCCATTCCACCGGCAGGTGCTGCCGCCCGGGTACCCCCTTCTCTGCGCATCCTCTGCGTGCTGAACGGGGGTAAGATCACGGGCCACAGCCAGCAGGGTGCGGGCGGGGAGAGGTGTGCCAGACCAGATCCCCCACTAGTCTCCCGCCCCAAGTGATCTCCGGAAAGCGGGGCGGAGGCTGCCGACCTCCCCCAGGGCCTCCCCCTCAGCGAGCCCCCTCCTCCTGGGGGTCCAGGGGTAGTCAGCAAGCTGCCTTCGCTGAGGCCAGAGCAGGCCTCCTGGTGGTTAATTCACGTCCAGGCCTCCCCCCGACACCACCTCCCCCCCACGAAATTACCACCAGGAGGGTCCCAAGAAAGGATCCAGGGCCCGGGGTTGGGGGAGCAGGCATTGGGCACAAAGGGGAATCAACCTGAATCTAGACCTGGGGTCGGACGCGGGCCTGGATGCTTACTGGTGTGTGAGCGCGGGAAGCCACTTAACCTCTCTGGGCCTCATCCCCTCGTCTGTAAAATGGGGTCAGTACCTGACCTGACGGCCTGCTATGTACTGAGACTGTGCGTGCTGAGGCCGTGGCTGCAGCCAGGCGAGGCCTCGCTGTCCCCATTCCACAGAGGGTAAAGTGAGGCTGGAAGAGGGCATGGCTCTCCCAAGGACACTCAGTGGCCCGTGACCGTCCCCAGGGGCGTCGCCCCAGCTGCACCGGAAGGGGCTGGGCTCTTGAGACCCTCGTGCTGAGGTGTGTGTGTCTCCTTCCCCCCCAACCCCCTCCCCCCCGGGCGTCAGGGCCCCGGCGGGAGACTGCTGAGCAGTCAACCCACAGACACCCATTTCACAGGTGAGGAAACCGAGTCCCAGAAGGACTTGGCTCGCGTGAGGTCCCAGGCAAGGCCATGGGGGGGTGGGCAGCACGCGGCCCGGCTCTGGCCTGTGGGGCCCCCGCCCCGACCCACCTGCACTGGAAGGGCTCAGCGCCTCGGGCGCCTCCGCTGTGGCCTCCTGCTCGGGGCGGCCCGTGGCCATGGCCTGAGCGTCTTCTGTAGCCTCCACGTCTCCGAGGGAGCCTGCAGACACAGCCGGACGGGAGAGGTGAGGCTCCGGGGGTCGGGGGGGGGCGCCCAGCACTCGTGCCCACTTCGCCCCACCTTGCCGTCCCGTCCACCGCTGCTGGCCCGCTGACCCCTCCCGCCGGGACGGTGGCCCAGCCCCCCAGGTCTCCCAGCACCGGGGGCAGCGTGCTCCCCCCTCCACTCTGTTCCAAGCTGTGGGAGCAGCAACGGGGCCTCTGGGGGTGCGTGGGGCGCAGCCCTCACCTGACCCTAAGTGCGCCCTTCCGGGGATGCAGAGCCCCCGAGATGTGAGGGCAAGCCTCTCCTGGAACCGGGACGCCTCCTCCGGGAAGCCCCCCACACCCAGGGACCGAGGTTTGGGAGCTTCCTGAGGGCGGCCCCAAGTCCGGCGCACAGGAAGTGCTCAAGAGAACGCCGCGAACGAGTAAATGGCTGAGGGGGCACAGCTGTGGACACAGGTGTCGGCAGCTGAGCCGCTGGGGTCGGAGAGCCGCGGGCCCTGGCACCGGACTCCGGTCCGCCTGCCCCGGGAGGCTCCCGCAGTGGGGTTCCCCGGAGACCCCTCACAGCTGGGAAGCTGGGCCTGCAGCCCAGAGACCTCCCAGGAGCGGGGGAGCCAGAGGAGCCAAGGTGCCCCCAGTCAGGGCAGCGACCCAAGGTCAGACCAGTGGGTCCAGGGCCCGGGCAGAGGGGACAGTGGTGAGCAGGTGTCCACCCTTATTTGGCTCCCCCAGTCTCCCCCGGCCCCACCGGGTGTCTCGGCCTGGGCCCCGGGGCTGTCTCCTGCCCCTCCCCCATCCTCAGAGATGACGCCCATCACGGGGGGGACGTGGGGAGGGGCCCGACTCACAGACCCCCCCTACTCATTCTCCTTGGGAGGGGCGGGGGTGCCCTTCTGGGCCCGGCACAGTCCCCACAGCAGCCAGGCCCTCTTGCTGCTGAGGAAACCAAGCCAGAAGAAACATCGGGAAGCCCTGCCAACAGCTGCAAATCCACACGATGGGGGTGCATGGTGGTGCGGAACGCGGCCCGCTCTCGCTGGGATCAGGGACAGAAGGCACCTGAGGCGTGTGGAATGGCCACCTCTCAGGAGCTGAGCTCCCCGTCCCTGGAGGCAATCAAGCAGCAGATGGAGACGTGCCTGGGGTGGTCCACGCCCCTGTGGCCGGTGGTTCCCAACCTCTTGTACATCATGATCCTTGTGGGGGGTGTGAAGGCCAGTGCCTTCTCCCCAGAAAGACAGGCCACGTTTTGCTCCGTCAGGGGCTTCTCACCAAAGCCTAGTGCTCTCCCTGCGCCGCCCTCACCCACTCCCCGCCTCTGCCACGTTATCCCTGGGGTGAACCCTGGTGCCAGCGTCCACCACGGGCCACGGCAGCGGGCTCGCGGCAGCGGTTCAGGGAGACGGCGCGGCTGCGACAGAGTGAGCGGCGTGTGGCTGCCTTCCCGACCTTGCCGGGGGCGGGCAAGCGGATTTTCTGTGTGCGGTCCAGCTCACCTCCCTGGTCGCAGGCAGACGGTGGCCGGCGACAGTGAGGAAAACTAAGTGTTCCTGGTGGGCCTCCCGCCGACACGTGGGGCAGACACGGCTCTGGGAGGCAGAGCGCGGGGGCACCTGGACTCGGGGGGGGCTTCCAGCCCCGCTGAGGCGACGAAGAGCGACAGACAGGCCCCCAACAGAAAACAACAGCACATGATAAATGCTGGGAGGGAGGGAGGCAAACGAGAGACACAGAGAGAGACAGAGAGGGAGAGACAGCAGCGGAGACTTCTAGCAGCAGGTGTCAGGGGCGGACAGCGGGCACAGGGCTCCAGGCAGAAGGCCCGGGGACGCGACAGAGCTGCAAGAGCTTGGAGGCTGGAGGGAGGCCAGGGGAGGAGTGGATCCTGATCCCCGGGGCCCCGGGGAGCTGCAGAGAGTCCCAGGCAGGGGGATGCCCACCTGCCGCGCGGTGATTGCCGGAGGGGGGCGGGGGCTGGGCGCACACAGGACCAGCCCCGGGCCGTGCCCTGCGCTCCCGTCGGTGCACCCACACCGGCAGCCTCTGGGGTGGGCTGGGCACGGCCCGTCATGCCCCTGGGACAGGTGGGAGCCCTGACCAGTTGGCGGGCACCCGGGCAGGAAAGCAGAGGCTGCGGTGGAGGCTGGGGTGGAGGCTGGGGTGGAGGCTGGCCTCTGGTCCCGCCGCTTCTCCACCCACGGTCCTGGCCCTGAGCGGACGCTGCTGGTCACCGTGGCCCACAGGCTGGCGACCACCCCAGCCTCAGCAGGCAGCGCAAAGGCCTCTGGGTCAGCCCGCTGCAGGACCCTTTCGAGACGTGCTTGTGGCTGCTGGGTTCACTGAGAGCTGTCAGGCGGCCCCGTAGCTGCGCTCCCTCCTGCCCAATGGCCATAGCACCTCGGGGCCTCAGTGGCCGGCTCCGGGGAGTGGGTATGAAGCCACCTGCTCTAAAGGGGCAGAGCCGCGCACCCCTCCCCACACCTGCCCGACCCTGGAACAGCAGCCCCCTCTCGGCGCCTCACCCAGGTGGGCCTCAGCCACCCAGGGAGGCCCCAAGCTCGCGGCGGGTCCATTTACAGGAGAACAAAGGCACCCGCCCCGCACAAAGGCGTGACGACGAGCGTGGAGAAAGGCTGCCGGGCTGCGGCAATTTATTCCAACGCTGCTAATTCAGTTCCAGCACAATTAAAGCTGCTCTGATAACGTGGGCGCAACCGCAGCCGCCGATCGCTCCAGCCTCGGACGGGATGTGTGTCGGGAAGGGCTGCCCCGGGCCGGCCTCGGCCCCCAGGAGCCTGCCGCCTCGGCCCGGGAAGGCCCTGGGGTCCCGCTCCGCCTGGGGCTTGGGAAGGAAGGTTCCCCACTGGCCACGCCTCAGGGAGACACCGCCCCCCCCCGGGTGCCCTGCACCAGGGGTGACCCCCACCTGGCCCCTGGGGGACACTCTCAGTCCAGAAACCCCAACAGCAGGCCAGGCCCATCCACCGCAAGGCAAGGCAGGTTTCCTTGCTGTGTGGACCTCAGGCGAGCCCCTCTACCTCTCTGTGCTCGGAAGCCACAACAGCTCCTACCTCACGGGGTACCTGTGGTGTTCACCTCCACTGAGCTTAGCTCAGGGCCTGGCACGTAGCGAGTGCGCACCAAGCGTCAGCCGTCAGCTGGGCCTCAGCCGTCAGCGGGAGGGGGGCACGGAGAGGTGGGGGGGCGGGAGAGGACAGCAGCGGGGGCGGGGGTGAGGCAGCCCTGGGCCGGTCAGGATGGTGGGTCTCCTCCTACCCTTTCAACACTGCGCAGAGATCACACCCACTTTGCGGATGAGAAAACCGAGGCCCATCAAGGGAACTGACTTGCCCACGGCCCACCCCCCAACCCCAGTAAGGAGTCGTGGGGGCGGGGAGGGCAGGAGCTTCCCCAAAAGTGCCACCCTTGCAGACATGGGCTCAGGCATAGCCCTCCCCTGCACCAGGGCGGCCCCCACCTCCCCGCACCCTCCAGAGACCAGGATGGAGGTGACACTGGCCGCACGGCCCAGCAGGGCGGAGAGGCTGGCTCCCCCGGCCGAACACCTGTCTGGGGGCGTTGGCGGGTGATGATGGCCGGCCCGGCGCTGCCCCCGCGGCCCGGAGCCCCTCGGTTATCACAGCGAGCAGGCACCCCGCGCCGATCCGTCTCCTGCTCATTAAGCCGGACGCCGAAATGGAAATGCAAACATAATAGCTATTTGATTGGGGTGAGATACTTTGCATATTGGCTCTGCACTGATAGCAGAATTTCATCAACTCCCTTTTTTCATGCTTTAAGACTGAATCCCGGAGACAGGCTCTTCCTTCCCTCTTCCTTCCAAGTCCCCGAGCTGCACGATTCACGGCCCCTCCTGGCTTTGATGGCGCGGCCGGGGTGGGGGGGGGCACCGCCTCTAAGAAGCCAGAGCTCGTGTGTGTGGAGCAGACAAAATGCCCCAGACTCCGGCCCCAGGAGGACCCGCCAGGCGGGGTGCAGGTGAGGGGGTCACGGAGCACTGGACGGGGAGTCCAGAGGCCCTAGTCCCCGCTGGCCCCTGCAGACTATGCCCACGTCAAATGGGGGTGATCGTGCCTGCACCCCAAGACCGTTTGAAACATTAAGCAAAAGAACCGGGGTCCCCACAAGCCCCTCACCCCGATGTGGGCCTGCCCACTACGTGGGTCCTTCTTATGCTCCGTTTAGGAGGAGAAAACGGAGGTGGGGCACCTGCCCAGGACCCCTCCTGCCCTAAGGCAGGCCCCTGGCCGGGGACGGGGCGGCCGCTGCGGTGGGGGGGGGGGGCAGCCGCAGTCCCCGCCCCCATGTCCAGCCCCCGGAGAGGGAGGCGGGCGCAGCCTGGAGTGCTGGCGGCCCTCGCGTCCTGCGGCCTGGCTTGCTCACGGACTCAGACATTAACCTAACCTGTGCCCCTGACTGCCAGGCTCTGCACCAGGCCCTGGAGACCCCACAGCCACCAGACACCCCACCCCCAAGAAAGCAAAGTGAAAAATGCAAGTGGCCACTGCCCTGAGGCGGGGGTACAGGTGCCCGTCCAAGAAGGCTTCCTGGAGGAAGCGGCTGGAAGGGGCGGGGGCGCCGGCGGCTGGGCCAGGGAGCAGCGTTCCAGGCTGGAGGCCCGCAGGGCGCTGAGGCCGGTGGCCTGGCGCAGGCCACACCTCCTCGAGCCTGGTTTCTGCAGGGAAAGAAGGGGTGGCGTCAGACTGGGGTCAGGGTTCAGCAGGTGGTGCCAGTGGGTGCTGAGCACGGACAAGTGATTATTACAACTCTTGTTATTTGTTTCAACTCTCCAGGGGGCGCCACACCTGCCCTCTGGGGGCTGGGGGGGCTGGTGGACAGACCTGGGGCCTGGGAGGGACAGTGCGGGTCGGAGGGAAGGGCCTCCCCCCATGCGGGCAGAAGGACCGGCCTCCTGTCTCGCCAGCCCTGGGCAGCTGGGGCGCTGGGCGGGGGGGGGGGCACGGCGCTGCC